AACGTGACCAATGCCGTTTCCGTGCTGTAACCCGGCCTGAAGCCCGACTGGAGGGGGTCCAGATAGACTGTTTCCTCCAGGTGCCGAGGAAACTGCTGTGCAACCACACTCTCAACAACCTTCGCCACAAAGCGGAGGTTGGAGACTGGGCGATAGTTAGCCAATACATCTGGGTTCAAGGAAGGCTTCTTAAGAAGGGACCTCACCACCGCCTCTTTAAGGGCCGTGGGAAAGGCACCCTCCCCCAAAGAAGCGTTGATAATTCCCTGAAGCCAGGCTCGTGTACCCTCCCGGGCCGCCAGCACCAGCCAGGAGGGGCACGGATCCAGCAAGCATGTGGCTGCACTCAGTCTCCCCAGGACGCTGTCCACGTCATCGGGAGTCACAGAGTCAAACTCCTCCCAAATTAACTTGTTTGTTTTATAAACAAACAAAACAAGTTGTTAAAAAATAAACACTATTATCTGACAAAATAGAGACCTAAAGTACTTTAGTACAATGAAATAATATCTGTCAAGTGTGAGAAAATCAGGATGTCCAGGAAATTCAAAAGAATATTAAGGTTTATTGTAAGCTTGTGCTCTCTACAAGAATCTGAACTACTAACAGTCAAAGCAAATTGACAGTAGATAAGACTCAACAGAATTCAAGGTGGGCTGGATTTAGATCTCTTGTGGATGCAAAGGGACTTGAGACTGATGACCCACTTGATCCCTCCCTTGGGCACAGTCTGGTCATCTCCTACAACAGTGGTTCTCAATCTTTTTAATGCCGTGACCCCAACCGGTCGTAAATCAAGGACTAAACCGGTCATAAGTCGAGGACTAATCCGATCGTAAGTCAAGGACTACCCAACCAGTCGTAAGTCGAGGACTTTCCCTGCCCAGGAGCGCTGCGCATGCGTGGTTCCACCCCCTGAGCCGGCCGAGGCGTAGCTGGCAAGCGGCAGAGACGGAGCAGGCCGACCACCAGCTGGCCCAGCTCAAGGGAGGTAAGACACCCGCCGGAAAAGGGGGAAAAAAATGGTGGACAAAAAAAATGGCGGACAGCCTTGCTTGGCGACCCCCATGAAATGGTCGATCGACCCCAAATGGGGTCCCGACCCACAGGTTGAGAACCACTGTCCTACAAGGTCAAATGTAATGAAATATTAAATGAATATTAAAAATCTCTGAATGCCAATTTTTACTTTTTTTAAAAAAAATATTTCAAACTAATATTATCCAAGGAAGGGGCATTCATGGTGTTTTTAATCCTTTCTCATTGTCTTAATTTTCCAAATGGAAAATTTTGCTATTTGCAAAATAGGAATTTCAAAGATTTTTTTAAGGGAAACTAACAAGGGGAGAAAAAAAATGTCTTTATATCATGGACAAGAAAATAGACCAAGTAACTATGCTAAATAGCCTGAACTGATTTCCTAGAGACAGATTTTGAAATTTGAAATTTCCACCAAGTTAAAATCAGTTAGATGTTTATTGTTTATGATAAACAATTGTTTATTGTCACCATATTATAAAGTTGGGTTGATTGACATTTTTAACAATATATTTCTGAATAATGCATAATGTTCGTACCAATTAACTGCGACAAACAGTTACAATGAATGCCATAGCTACTATGTCATAAGTAGTAAATTTGGACAGATGTCATGAAGGAATTGAGGTGAGGGGATTTTTCTTTCTGTAACTATTGAAGATGCTCATTGTTTTGTTTTATTTTCCACTTCAGTGGTTCTAAAAAATTTTTAGTACTAGCTGGTGCTTTAATCTCCTATTCCCATCCATTTTTTAACGTTTATGCTTGTCAGTATTTTTGTTTTATCACTTTAGATTTTGCTTTTCTGTTATGTGATAAGATATTGATGATTCGCTGGTAGGTACTGTATTGAGAACCTAATAAAAAGAGGTGCATAAAATGGTAATGGTCACAAAAAAGACAGGAAGTCCTCCTTCTATTGTTTAGTCTAGACAGTTCATCACAGCCATTCCTCAATTTGCTCTCTCTTATGATCAGATGAATCCTCCTAGAAGATTAGTTTGGAAATTTTTCATCTTGACACTTGTGTTTCTTGCAATTTCTCTTTTTTTGGTTAGGGAGAGAGCATTGAATACCTCCCAGTCTGGGTTGTTGCAGCTTACAGTGGGAAATCTGAAACCTGAAGAGACCTATACCTTCCGAGTAGTGGCATACAATGAATGGGGACCGGGAGAAAGTTCACAGCCTATCAAGGTGACAACTCAACCTGAGTGTAAGTACATTGATTGGGTTCTAATTGGGTTTTGTTGTTCCTGCAGTCATTTTTAGTCTGCTTATGTATGTAAAGTGGTATGGTATGGTATGGTATGGTATGGTATGGTATGGTATGGTATGGTATGGTATGGTATGGTACTCTATGGCAGGGGTAGTCAACCTTGGCTCTTTTATGACTCGTGGACTTCAACTCCCAGAATTCCTGAGCCAGCTAATTCTAGGAATTGAAGTCCACGAGTCATAAAAGAGCCAAGGTTGACTACCCCTGCTCTATGGTAAAGTACTGTATGGTATGTTATGGTACACTATAATATGGTATTTATTTATTTATTAAATTTATTTGCCATCCATCTCGCTGTGGGGCTACTCTGGGCGGCTTACAGTAGTAAAACATAAAAAATGATTTTAAAAAATTATATAAGCATAACAAAAAATAAAGAAATAAAACAATAAAAATAGACAGTGGAAGTACAATAATATGAAATCAAAAAGATGGGCGGGGAGGGGGGAGCAGGAAGCAGAGGTGGGCAGGTGAGGTCAGCTAATTAATCCAGCAGCCACCTCCAGTGATGTACTCTCCTACTAGATCCTCAGGCCAACTGGCAGAGTCAGGTCTTCAAGCCCTAGTGGAAGGATAGGAGCAAACCTCACCCCGGGGTGGTGGTGGTTCTTTTTCTGGATACTGTCAGTCGGAGTTCCTTGACTGGCAGGAACTTCAACAGCCTCCTCTGCCAGCATGAGTAGAACAGGTTAGCAGGACAAGACAGTTCATCAAGTAATCTGGACCTCTACATGGAGGGCTTTAAAGGTCCTAACAAACTCCTTGAAAAGCACCCAGAAGCAAAGCGGCAGCCAGCAAAGCAAATGAAGCGGTGGTATAACATGGGTCATTTTATGGGCCCCAAAGACTGCTTGCACTGTTTTGTACCAGTTGAAGCTTCCAAATGCATTTCAAGAGTAGCCCATAGATATGGCATGGTATGGCAGGTCCTTACATTTACGACCTTTGCAGCATCCCCATGATCATGGGATCAAAATTCAGATGCCTGGCAACTGGCTCTTATTTATGACCATTGCTATATCTCAGGGTCATGTGATCACCTTTTGTGACCTTCAGACAAGCAAAGTCAATGGGGAAGCCAGATTAACTTAACTAGGATACTAACTTATCAACTGCAGTGATGCACTCAATAACTGTGGCAAGAAATGGAGCAAAACTCACTTAACAAATGTCTCACTTAACAACAAGGCTCAATTGTGATTGTAAGTCGAGGACTAACTATACTGGATGATCTGGCTCTTCCTGGCAGAGGACTTAACTAAGGATAGAGACTTCTACACATATGCCACAATGACAGGCGCTCTGATAGTCTTTTTGGTAACAGCGTATGATTTCGTACTCCATATCAATATTGGTTAATGTAAGCTTAATAGGAAGAACTGTCAATTATACCTCAGAGTAATTTAACTAAATTGCAGTTTAGTAGTTTGTACAGCTGACAGTCTGTAAAACATTTCTATGATTGTCATTGCTATGTCCTATTAGAATGATACGGCACTCACCGTTACACCCTTTCCTCACCAAACAGAATTTTTAAAGGACAAAACATACCTTGCTGCTTGAAATGCTGTTAAGGAAAGGAACTACCAGCATTTTTATGTGTGTGCATATGTATGCATTTGAGTCAATTTTTGACTCCCGATGACTGCCTGGATTAGTCCTTGCAGCTGTTTTGTCAAACTTAAGTGGTTTGCCCTTGTCTCCATTTTAGGGCTGAGAGAAAGTAGCTGGCTCAAAGTCACTCAGCCAGCTTTGTGCCTAAGTCAGGATTAGAATCCATAGTCTCCTGGTTTCTTGCCTGATGCTTTAACCACTATGCCAAACTGACTGTACCAAAAGAAAGCTCAGGTAGACCTCGACTTCTGAACACAATTAGGATGAGAATTTTCACTGTTAAGCAAGGCAGTTGTTAAGTGAATGGCACCTGATTTTACAATCATTTTTTTTGCCGTGATTGCTAAGTGAATCACTGCAGTTGTAAAGTAAATCATGAGGTCATTAAGTGGATCCAGATTCCCCCCCCCCCCCATTGACTTTGCTTGTCAAAAGCTGGCTGGGAAGCTTGCAAATGGCAATCACATAATATTGCATCCATTGTGAATACATGCCAGTTGTCAAGTGGCTGAATTTTGATCACATGACCGTGGAGATACTGCGACAATTGTGACCAGGTGAATGACATTTTTCCCCCAGTGTCATTGTAACTTTGGACGCTTGCTAAACAAATGTTTGTAGGTCAAGAACTACCTCTATATATACCCATATATAATTTCTATATACCCATCTGGACCTGCCTAAATGCTTATGCATGGAGCAAAGAAAGGCAAGAAAAGATGTCTTATTGATTAAGACCAGTGGGAATCCTAACATTTTTAGAAGGTTCAAGGAGAATTGCCCTTACTTATTATTGCAAAACAAAATTATTGTTTCCATGGTTCGTGAGACTGATGAGAGCCAAAGAATAATTCCAGAGTCTTTAGCAAGTCAAAGGTTCACAGTTCCTACTGTGTACCTCACTGTCCTTCATAGGAGCCCCGTGGTTAAAGTGCAGCATCACGGGTAAAACTCTGCTCACAACCTGGAGTTTGATCCTGATGGAGCTCAAGGTTGACTCAGCCTTCCAAACTTCCAAGGTTGGTAAAATGGGGACCCATATTGTTGAGGGTAACATGCAAATAATGCTTCTACATTGTAAACCGCCAGAGAGTGCTGTAAAGTGCTAAATGCTATTGCTAGCATATATCTCAGTCTTCTCCAGTCTGATAATTTTTCAGAATAGAAGATTTCCAAACACTGCTTCTGTCCCATATGCTGAAGTTTTTTTTTGGGTAAAGTCTGACTATCTGCAGAAAGTCTCTAGGATAACTCTAGAAAAGTAGAAGGTATATATCAGTATAGAAATTAACATAGGTTAGCAATATTTTACAACCTTGAGACTTATTGCAATATTCCTGGGACAAGAGAGACATATCTCATTTTTAACAGTGCTGGAGATGAGCATGAGGCCATCAGGAGTGGATGTGATGGGGAAATAAAAGCTTGTGTGCGATAAAATATTTGACAAGTAAGAAAGGGCACCTTTTTACAACTCAACTCAAATGTGGGGTAGGAGATGTTGTTATTCTATTTTTCTTTCTTTAAACACCAATAATTTAAGAAATTGACAGCGGTAGCAATTTGAATAGAACAACTGATGGAGAAGCAAACTCTTGGAGTTTGGAGTCAATGATGTGGCACTTGGCTCATAGCCTTCAGTGCTTAATGACTGGTTTTGTAAATCTCCTGTTGACAGTGTGTGGTCCTTGAACAAGACCTTTATTTGACACACTTCACTATATTATTTCTTCATATATTCAGCTTGTATGCAATTTGGAGTCAGGAACCACATCACAACACTTGAATGACTTCATTGCCCAAAAGATATTTTGTTTTAAAGGTAGTTGTTCTGCACAGAGAATCCAAATTTGATTTATTTAACATGCAAACAAATTAACATTACATTCATTTTGATACATATGAGGAAAAAAACCATCATTGTACCTCACCCTAAGATTAGTTTTAGCACCTTGGTGGTTATTCCAAAGGGACTGCTCTTCTCTTCTTTAGTCCATATCTTTTGGAATAAGGGAATATTGCACTAGACTATTATTCATTCATTCATTCATTCATTTTCTATAGCTGTGCTACTCAACCAAGTGACTCTGGGTGGCTTACATTTCTAAAATTATAAAACAATTAAAAGAAACATTAAAATAATATTGAAAAAAGTCTTCCATAGATGGTGAGACTGATGAGATGCCAAGAATAATTCCAGATTCGTTAGCAAGTAAAAGGTTTGCAGAGAAGTGATAATAGAATAGAATAGAATAGAATAGAATAGAATAGAATAGAATAGAATAGAATAGAATAGAATAGAATAGAAGGGACCTTGGAGTTCTTCTAGTCCAACCTACTGCTTAAGCAGGAGACCCTATACCATTTCAGACAAGTGGCTGTCTAGTCTCCTTTTAAAAACCTCCAGGAATGAAGCACCCACAACGTCTGAAGACAAGCTATTCCACTGCTTAATTCTTCTCACTGTTAGGGAATTTCTCCTTAATTCCAGGTTGCTTGATTAGTTTCCATCCATTGTTTCTTGTCCTGCTTTTGCTGCTTTGGAAAATAAGTTGACCTCCTCTTCTTTGTGGCAGTCCCTCAAATATTGAAATATTGATATCATGTCACCCCTAGTCCTTCTTTTTTCTAGACTAGCCAAACCCAGTTCCTGCAACCATTCTTCATATGTTTTAGTCTCCAGGCCTTTAATCATCTTTGTTCCTCTTCTCTGCACTTTTCCAATGTGCACATCTTTTTTGTAATGTGGTGATCAAAACTGGATGCAGTATTCCAAGTGTGGTCTTACTAAAGTACTAAAGCGGTACTAATACTTCACGTGATTTTGATTCTATGCCTCTGTTTATACAACCAAGGATTGTATTAGCTTTTTTGGCTGCTGTGGGAAAAAGACAAACTGGAACCCTGTTGGATGAGGCAATTTATAGTCCAATCCCCTATTAAACACATCCTATGGAAGGAAACCATAGGAACCAATGGTGTCATTAGAGACATGGACACTCAAATGTGAGTGGGCCTAATAACAAGAACCCTTGTTCAATATTTAGAAGGAAGATTGAGATGTGACTTGTTTCTCATCTGGATTGAGTACCCAATACATGCTCACCACTCCTCATTACTTAAGGACATAAAAGACATAGAAAAGAGAAGGTGTTTCAATAGAAGTACAGCATCTTTTTTTGCTGAGAACTGAATGGAACATCCTAGCAAAGATTATGTGCATAACATGACTCATTCTCTCTGTCTCCAGTAGTAAAAGAAGCATTCTTTGCCACAGTTTTTCCTGGAGAGACATCTGCAGTGAAGGTATATAGGCAGTCCTC